CTAGACCTGCAAGTGAGTCTATCAGCCCATACCCTGAAGCTTTCTGGGGAATATGAGCATTGCTATTTTGCCTTTGCTTCGTGGTGTTCTAAACTTCAGTGAAATTCATCTGGTAGTGTTGGCCCTGAAATCTGCATTGAATTAGCTATCAAAGTAGAGCCCTTTACTCCATATGACCTTTAGCTTAGCTCAAGAACCAGAAATGCCCCAAGTAGATAGGCTCTGAGAAGCTTCAGCTCTAACTGCTTAAAGAGCATGATTTTGTGTAAAAAGAAAAGTTATATTGGTTACGTATTTTTGAAGCAATTGCTAAAACCCCTACTGAATTGGTACTAAAAATCAGACACTGATAGGTGTTTGGTAAACATGTGGATTTTCAGATCATACCCCAGTCCTTCTGCCTCAATGAGAGATTCCTGTGTCTGAAGAGAGACCCAGGCATTTAGTTAGGAAGAACAAGCACTTCCTAATGACTCTGAGGCAGTTTGTCAGGCATATTTTGGAAATGGCCATACAAAAGGGAAATAACTCATAGACAAAAACCTTGCTATGCTCTGATGCAATTTACTATAGAGATTAAGAGCTTCAGCTCTGGAGCCAGGTGCCTGGGACTGAATCCCAGCTCTCCCACACTTGCTTATAACCTCAGGCAGTTTCTTCATCTGTAACATGGGATGTAACAGCATCCACGTCCTGGGCTGGTTGTGAGGAATCAGTGAGTTCCAGCAGGCAAAATGCTTCATTTGGGCCTTGCTCAATGTTAGCACTGGAAAAGTTTTAAGTATTATTTGTTTTTGTCACTTCTGTTTTGCTTCTAACACTTTTTAATATAATTATTTTATTGACTAATCCCTGGGATTATTTATAAAATATAATAAATATAAACATAAATTATTTTTAGTATGATTATTTTATAAAATAATCCCTGGGAAAACTTCAGTATATTTTAGCACTTCCCATTATACAATATAAAATGGAACAAGAGAAGGCAAGAGAGCATTGTATAGACCTTAGAACCAGACAGACATGTGTTTGTGTTTCACCTTTATTCCTTGGAAGCTGTGTTACTATCTGACTACCTGTTTCTCTACCTGTAAAATGGAAATGTTCATACCCTCTGTAGTATCAAGTTGTTGTGGAATATAGATGAAGCATATACGGGCAAGCCTACTTTCTAACATAAAATACTCAATGGGTATTTTCTATTTTATTATTATTATATTTTACACTCTGGGGATATTCATGTGGGTTAGGTGCAAAGATCCAATTATTTACAGGAACGTCAAAGTTTTTCTGTTGTTATCCTGTTTTGTGGGAGGACTAGTTTACATATAATTAGGATTTGTTAATTTACGGGTCAATTTGTAATTGGCTTAAAATACTGATTAGTAAAGTCATGAATGTGTGTGTATGTGTATATATATATCACACATACATACATCACAGAGATTGATACACACACACATCTCATGGAGATAGATGGAAAGATGATAGATGGATTGATTCAGGAACCCAAGTTTAGTGGGAAAGACGAGACGGGATTCAGGGAGGCTTTTCTGAGGAAGGGGGTTTCAAGTTCTGCACAATTGTAAAGTGTAATCAGTGTTAACCAGGATTTGACAGGAGGAAGTAGGAGCTGTAAGGAGTAACATTAGAAAGCCTGCATGTTGGTTTACTAGTGTTAGGCTGGAATGTATGTCTGGGTACATTGGAGTCACATTTGCTGGGAAGAGACCAAAGAAGTTCAAATGTATACTGGTCTTAGACCAACTAAGGCCTAATACATAAACCCTCGTAAGCAGCTTGAATTTTATCGTGGGGCAACAGGGAGCCATTAAAGGTTACTTTTTTAAGCAGGGGAGTGACAAGATCAGTGATGCACATTAGAGAAAGAGTCTACTGACTTTGCAGAGAACGTGCTGAACAGTACCCAGAGATGGGTGAAGAAACCCGTGGAGGAGGCAGTTGCAGAAGTCCCTGCTGTGGCCTGGTCTGAGTTAGCAGCTCTGTTTGCCTAAGTCCTATGTGAAGGCAGGTGGAGTGGCCCTGCAAACTTGATTCTGGTGGTGAAAAATTAATATTGCCTGAGCCTGATTCTCTAATATGTACACCTCTCTCTAAAGTAACTTAGATCCTTTTGGAAGTTGCATTAAGTCTCCAAAGCCACTGGGGTGCCATTAAACTCCTGTTTCGGCATACTAAATGGAATGGAATCTCAGCCTGCAGTCAGCCAGCAAATGAGTATAACTTATGTTGAATTCCAGCTAATGTACAGTCTTGGAAGTAGCATTTAGTCTGGAAAGTCACTTGGGTGCCATTTGGAGTACTGAACTGTGATTTACTTGGTCATACCCTAGTGGCCTGTGTGTGCCAATATAGCTTCCATGGTCTTTTCTACTTCATTTCAGGGGATAACTTATGGAATGAAAACATCCATTTAAAAATATATTTTCTATATCTTATTCATTTTCTTGGTGGATAGGGATTATTGAGGTCAGTATTTATTGCTCAAAAATGTGTCATTTGAATGAAAATGTAAGTCGTAACCTAAAAATGTATAGTTCAAATGAAAGTAACGGTTCATAACCCAAGGTAATTTTACCTCTTAAATGCATGTCATAAAGTTTTTTTTTTTTATATAAAAGCATTGATATCCACACCTTTATCCAAAAGTCATTTAAAATTCTTTTACAAGGAATTTTTTAATGTTCATCATGTAAAGTTTGCTTCGTATATAAAATCAATAATAAATTGTTCATTGATATGCACGTATATGAAGAGTGAGTCATACTCCCATAAGGGACAATGTTTAAAAAAAACCAAACTGATATTCTGATAAGCCCTAAGCCCTGTGAGGTCTGAGACTATGTCTTAGTCATGCTTTTGTCCCCATGTAGTTGTCACCATGAGCCTGGCATTGAATACATGTTTCATTAGTATGTGATTACCACAGGCAAATCAACATTAATATGTGACGCCTGTCTATTGACGGCTAATCGTAGTGATAGCTACTAGCAGTGTGAAAGCTTTCTGCCTATCTGAGATAGGTGTTTTGGGAACTTAGGACAATTGTTATTCCTGAAATGTACAAATGAAGGAACCTCAAATAGAGTCTGTGTGATAAGTCAATTTGACAATATTTTAGGAACTAGATTCCCTCTTAATAAAAATAATTATTGGCTTAAGCTTTTGAAGTTCATAGATGCTTGGCAAGTAAATAGGAATAGAATTTTAGATATGTAAAGAGATTAAGTCATATTTATCTAATTTGGTAAAGTAAAAAGAGGGAAAAGATATAAAAATAGAGAATTTTCCAAGTGCTTGCTGGAATAAACCATAATGTGCCTAACATTTATGTGATATTGTAGAGTGTCCATTATGCTTTCCAAAACATTACCTCATCTGATCTGTTAGGAATGCTGCAAAGTAGAGTTTCTGCAGATAAGGAAATTATGTTTTAGAGTGGCTAGGAGGCTTGTCCAAGGTCCAAACAGCTCATAAATGATGAACTGGAAACTCTGTTTTCTGACTCTTAAGCCAATACTTAAACGGTTCAGTAGCAAGTAAATAATTGGCGTATACTACCACCAGAAACCATCTCAATAATGAGTTCAGGTTGAAGAGATTCCTTCTTGAACTGCCAACACATTTATGGCCTACACCACTCATCTGCCATAAAACTGTAACTTTTTTTAAAAAATGGCTTTTATTTCTAATTATAGAAGCAACATAGGTTCCGAGTAGAAATTTTAAAAATGTACATTGGTTTAATGAATGCTATGTGACCATACATCAAATCCTTTAGAGATAGCATTTCTAAGATTTTTGTGCTTCTTGAAAATTTGTTATACTTAAAAAAATATTTTAATGAGATCATCAAAAATATTTTTTATTTTAATTTTTACTTTCACAAAATAATATGAAAAGTTTTCTCATGTCATTAATCATTATAATATCATTTTAACAGCTTCATAGTATTCCCTTTTCTGAATAATACCTGTTAAGGACTTGGAGCTGCTTTCCTAGGTTTTCTTATTGGAAGCAACACTCAAGAACATCTTTGCTATCTCTTTGTATAACTCCATAATTTTTTGTCATAGAGTAAATGCCTGAAATAAAATCGCTCGGTTAAATGGCATACAGAATTACTCAATCATAAGCCAAATAGACAAACAGAAAGATTGCGCCTATTTAAATTCCCATTTTGCAGTGTATGAATGCCATTTTTTATATATTTGCTAATCCCTGATCTTCTTTAAAAAATCTTTGCCAATATGATTATCAATGGTAACGTATTTTTGTTTTGCATAACTTAGTAATAAAATAGTAAATCATGTGCAAGAGGGAACTCAGCTTTGCTCTCATGTGTCTTAAACAGCGCTTATTGTTCATTGTTTAACAATGTGGACATTCAACAGATAGAACGTTATCTTGACAGCACATGTAATAGATAAAACATTAATCATATTCCTCTTTCATCTTTGTTGTATCAAATTTTTCAATTGCTGCCATTCATTCTTTGGTGAAATGAAATGGCTTTTTCAGTGGGCCATTTTAATAGCCATATGATACAAGTCTGAAAGCATTTTAAGTTCTTGGAAGTAGTATCATAGTTTTTGAGCTAGCAAGAACCTTAGAGATCATCTAATCTGACTCCATCATTTTACATTATGTGTATTTAATATAAAGACATGAAAAATCTTGGTGTGTTTTGCAAATTGAAAAGTTCAGTGTCTTATGTTTTACAAAAATGTATAATTTTGCCCTTAGTCTATATAAGTTACTAACATCCTTGGCAATTTAAACCTCTTTGTTTTTAATTTTTTAGTGAAAATGAAATCATCAACCATGTTAAGAAAACTAAATTTTAGCCATGACAGTAGATTCTAGTGTTGAAGATAAACCACATGCCAATTCTGCCTTATCTAAATGCTATTTTCCTATAGCCACATTATTCCATGTAGCCTGTTGTAACCATATTTCTTTTCATTTTGTTTTAGGTAGCAGTTTTACAACATCATCAGGATTATATACAGGAAATAATTCACTCACAAATTCATCTGGATTTAACAGTTCACAGCAGGTAACTTAAAAAGCCAGTTTAACTTCTGAAAAATATCTTTAAATGTGACGTGATTTTCTTATATAAAGAAAGATCTGTTCATATTGTAAGTGAGAGCTTTCCTAAGGCATTCAGTAGTCTTCTTTTAAAATTTACTTTAGCAGTCTTTTATGGTGAATTGTTTGGTGTTTAGATTGGTTTAATTTTACCTACTATTGCATCATAGAAGACTGAAAATATGAAGAATGTATATAATCCTACATTAAATTTGTTGGCAAGTCTGAGCTCTTTACTTAATGTGTACTTGTATGCCCCCCTGTGTGAATTCAGAAAAGGCTCAGAAACCCAGACATCTTTACAGTCACTTTGATGTATAAGAGATAAGCAGCACTATTTTGATAGACAATTCTTGTCTGGTTTGATTTGGTAGGACTACCCGTCTTATCCCAGTTTTGGCCAGGGGCAGTACGCACAGTATTATAACAGCTCACCGTATCCAGCACATTATATGACCAGCAGCAACACCAGCCCAACGACACCATCCACCAATGCCACTTACCAGCTTCAAGAACCACCATCTGGCATCACCAGCCAAGCAGTTACCGATCCCACAGCAGGTAATTGTGTGAATATTATTAGTCCTGCAGGTGATATTTTCAATGATTTCAATGCATTTTTCTACAGTCATATATTCATGCAGTGGTGGCAAAATTTTGGCAGCTTTTGGTAAAGACTAAATATAAGTCAAGCAGCGCGACTGTGGCATTAACTTCATTTTAATTTATTTTTTTATTTGCTTGAAGTTTTAAAATAAAGTATATTAACATCAAAAGGCATGTGAAATAGATTTTATTTGTAAATATACTCAATTTTTAAGGTATATGTAGCTTCTGAGATTTATAATTATAAGTACTTAGCTATAACTATAATTTGTTGACATCACATTGAGTATGAAAATAAATGGCAATGCCTAGAAGTTAGTGTTTACCATTATTCAATATTTAATGTTATTCATCAGAGTAATATATTGCTGATAGTTAAAAAAAAAAAATCAAAGGTGAGCCTCTGCTTTCTCACGTGTAGCCTGCTGTGAATTTCATGGCAATGTGTCATGAGCATGGCCGTTTGTTATACATTTGCACCACCATTGCTGGTCTCTTTCAAATGCCAGCCTCTCCATGTGGAAATCTTCATACCTGATGTCTTTGATACCTCTTCCCCTCATTGATTCTTTCTTTCTAGAACTCTTAATGGTGTCTGCTTAATTTCCTGAATTGGTCTTTACTTAATGTTTTCTATACTTTCTCATACTTCTCACCTCCTTGCCTTAACTTGTTAAAAATGTAATCATATCTTTCATGGATTACAAAATAAGCTATTATCCTCAAAGAGTTAAACTTTTCTTCCTCTTACCTGTTTCCAGAGGTAAAATGGTCTTAACATTGAAAAAATTACCTCTCTGATGTTATAATCATAGTGTTCATTCTAGGTTATCCTAAATTATGAAAAAAAGTTTTGTGTAATAAATGCCAATTTAATTTCAGACTATAGAATTATATTTTAAATATTAATGGGTGATTTCATCCCCAAAAATCTTCCAAATTTTTCATATTCCACCTTTTCTCCCTTTTTAAAAGAAATATACGTAGACATTGCTTTATTCTAGAGTTTCATCATTCTTGTCTTTCAGTTAACTTCAAATGCTCATTATTTCTGCTGCATATTTTAACTTTAAATATTTTTGTCTTCGATAATTGTATTTCATGTATCTTTATTTTCCAAAAACTAAATTGATATTATATTCCTTACTTAGTTTATATGTGTACACACAGTGTTCATAGAACTGAATATACATGTATCTCTCTTCCTTTAATTAGATTTCACATCCATATAATCACACTGAAAATAAATTTTATTAAGAATGCATAGAATTTATTGTAGGAGTTTTTATAGAATTATCTCTACTTACGTAAACTTCATATATGTATCATGAGGAAAGGTAATGGCTTGTCCCAACTTTAGGGAGTTCCTATCTTTTCATTTGAACCATCTGTGTCATGCAAGCTTCCTGAGAACTAACAGGAGTTTTGAAATGAGGATCATTATGTGAATGAGATGTAGCCAACCTCTTTTAGGGTCTAGAGAGTCACAGAATGAGAAAAGGAGACAGCAGAATAATTTTATTTAATTCATGACATTTTGGTTGTGAAGACTACATTATAAATAAACTGGTGAAGACTTAATTGTGTTTGGGTTGATAAGAGCTTTTTGGAAAAGGCCATTTGGTCAGATATAAGTGTTTGTCTCTGAAACCAGACATTGTTCTAAGTGAGTTTCTTCCCTCAAAGGGATGCTATTTGAAAGAATGGGGATGGTGGAGTACAAAGCCAGGCCACGTGGAAGACAATCTAATTTCAAAATATGTCCATGATTTTAAGAGTGAATGATGTATTTTAGTTTGTATTGTAAAAGTAAAAGTGCTTAGTGTTTCAGATGTTTATTTTAATATCGTTATCTTATGGGAAAATACTAGGAATGAGCTGAACCCAGGAAAAAAAATAATACTTTTCAGATTTCTTATATATACCTCTTCCAACTAAAGTAATTATGTCTGGATCAGCCTTTCTTGTGTTGCATAATTAGAAATGGGAAGTTCACAGACTTTCCAGATTGAAAAAGAAATGGTTTTCTTCAAAAGTTCAAGGAAGACCTAGTCTGGGTATATTGTTGTCATTCTTTAATTTGGGATAAGACCACAGATTCAGCCTAAGGTTTTTGGCATTAACTTGCCTTTCTTCTTAGTAGTCATATATAAAAGAACACTTTTCTTGATGAAAAGGAAGTTTTGAGGTAAAGTACATAAAATGGAAGAATTTATTAAACTAAAGAATTAGAAATGATTTATTGAGAACAATTTCTGTTTTCAGGTAGAATTTTTTAAGTGGTTAAAATAATGTCTCTTTGTTGGAATAATTTTGGGTCTTTTTTTTCTTTTAATTTTTAGTCTATTGGGTTTAAAGTCAGTATTTTATAATACTGGAGAGTTAGACTGTAGGCATTTTCTTATCCTATGCATGACGTGGTTTCTGCCTTTCAATTTCATTATATTAGGCAGTAGAGACAAATCTAGGACATGAGATAGCCTCTCATGCTTCATGATTTTTGTTCCTGCATTGTTCTTAGAATTGTTATGTCATAATGGACATATAAAGATAATCTTGTAAGGATTTTTCAGGGCAAACATTTAAGGACTTATTTGTGGGGTTTTCTTGTACCTTTTTAAAGTTACTTTTTAAGTCTATAATGGTATGCAGTAGTACTTGTAAACATGCAATTCCTCATGAATTTTGAGTTCAAAATTATTTTAAAGTGTTTATAATGAAATACTCAGAATGAATGAGAGTTCCTGTTGCTCCATATTCTTGTCAGCATTTGGTGTTGTCATTGTTTTCGATTTTGGCCGTTCTAATTGAGGAGTAGTGCTACCATGTTGTTTTAATTTGTTTCTAATGACATATGATGTGAAACATATTTTCATATGTTTATTTGCCATCTGTATGTCTTTTTTGGTGAGGTGTCTGTTCAGATATTTTGCCCACTTCTTAAACAGATTGTTTTCTTATTGTTGGGTTTTAGGAGTTCTTTGTTTATTTTGATACACATCTTTTATCAGATATGTGTTTTGCAAATATTTTCTCCCAGTCTGTGGATTGTCTTTTCTCTTAACAATGTCTTTTGCTCACACCTGTAATCCCACCACTTTGGGAGGCTGACGCGGGTAGATCATGAGGTCAGGAGTTTGAGACCAGCCTGACCAACATGGGGAAAACCCTGTCTCTTCTAAAAATACAAAAATTAGTTGGGTGTGGCATCACACTCCTGTAATCCCGGCTAGTTAGGAGGCTGAGGCAGGAGAATTGCTTGAACCCAGGAGGCAGAGGTTGCAGTGAGCCAAGATTGCGCCATTGCACTCCAGCCTGGGTGACAGAGTGAGGCTCAATATAAAAAAAAATAGTAGAAGTTTTTAATTTTATTAAAGTCCAGTTTATCAGCTTTTCCCTCATGGATCATGCCTTTACTCCTGTATCTAAAAACGTGTTGCCAAAACCAAGGTCATCTAGATTTTCTCCTGTGTTACTATCTAGAAGTTTCATAATTTTGCATTTTATATGTAGGTCTCTGATTCATCTTGAATAAATTTTTGTGAAAGATGTAAGGTCAGGGTCTGGATTCATTTCTTTGCATATGTATGTGCAGTGGTTCCAGCTTACGTTTTGAAAAATTATCTTTTCTCCATTATGTTGTCTTTGCTGCTTTGTCAAAGATTACTTAACTGTATTTAAGTGGGGCTATTTCAGGGTCCTCTCTTCTGTTCCTTTGATCCATTTGTCTTTTTTTTTTTTTTTTTAACAATACCACTCTGTCTTGATTAGTATAGCTTTACAGTAAGTCCTAAAGTCAGACAGTGTCTGTCTTCCAACTTTTTTCTCCTCCTTCAGTGTTGTGTTGACAGAAGAGTCTTTTGTCTCTTCATATAATCTTTAGAATTAATTTGTCAGTATCCACAAAGTAAATTTCGGGGATTTTGGCTGGAATCATATTGAATTAATAGATCAAATTGGGACAAACTAATGTCTTGACAATATTGAATCTATCTATGTGACGGGAATATCTCTCCATTTATTTATATCTTCTTTGATTTCTTCTATAGTTTTTCTCATGTAGCGCTTATATATAATTTTTAGAGTTATATCTAAGTATTTCTCTCTCAGTCTCTCTCTCTCTCTCCCTCCCTGCCCCCCTCCCTCCCTCCCTCCCTTCCTCCCTCTCTCTCTCTCTCTTCCTCCCTCTCTCTCTCTCTCTCTCTCTCTCTCGCTCATGTTGATGGAAATAGTGGTGTGTTTTTAATTTCAAATTCCAGCTGCTCACTGCTAGTATATAGGAAGGCATTTGATTTTATTGATTATGTTACATCCTGCAACCTTCCTCATTGGTTTCAGGAGTTGTTTTCTGTTTGGTTTTAGGGGTGAGTATTTGTTGATTTTTTAAAAACTATTTTCTAGATAGACAATCGTGTTTTCTGTGAATAAAAACAGTTTTATGTCTTCCTTCACAATCTGTATACATTTTATTTTCTTACTGCATTAGTAGGAACTTCTAGTACAATGTTGAGCAGGAGTGGTAGAGGGAACATTTTTGCTTTGTCCTTTATCTTAGGAAGAAAACATCTAGTTTCTTGCCATTAAGTATGATGTTAGCTATAAGTTGTTTTTCAATATTCTTTGTCAACTTTAGGAAGCTCTCCTCTTTCCTAGATTACTGAGAGTTTTTATTATGAACGGGTATTGGACATTGTCAAATGCTTTTTATGCATCTGTTGATTTGATTATATGGTTTTACCTCATTATTAGTCCATCGATGTGATGGATTACATTATTTTCAAATGTTGAACTGGCCTTATATATCTGGAATTAATCCTACTTGGTCATGACATATAATTCTTTTTATACATTGTTGGATTCAGTTTGCTAATGTTTTGTTGAGGATCTTTGCATCTATGTTCATCAGACATAATAGTCTAGTTTTCATATCTTGTAATGCCTTTATCTCATTTCAG